CGGGCGCGACCCGTCCTGGAGACGGGCTGTAGGGTGGCAGGAGGCAGGGTGACGGTGGCGAGCATTTTTGGGGAGCCCATTCCTGGACGGGAAATGGGTTAACGGGGGCCCACGGGGCTCCCCGATTTTCAGGGGTGTCTGCTCTTCCTGCGCCTGCTCCAGCCGCGCTCCTGCCAGCTGGGGAGGTCAGCGATGAGACTTGTCACTCTTCAGCAATGCGGAAAATGTCCCCCAGCTTCTCCAGTGACGGGGAGGAGAGGCTGGGTCGGTGGGAGCTGGGCTTCTGCTGGCTGCACTGCTCTGGGCACCCTTTCCCTTTCTGTGATTGAATCTCACCAAAATTCACCTTCAAATTTTGAATTTGGCCACAAGGGTTTGGTCTCCTGCAGCACCCAGAAAAGGGCACTGAGCTGCCGGAGTTCCTCCAGGTTTTTAGGATCAAGGTGGGTCTGCAGATTCATCTCCAGGCAATGTGAAAGGATCAAGGGGTGCAGAATGGGGGCCCTGCCGGGGCCCCCGGCCCTGGCCCCAGCCAGGGGTGCCTCCAGGGGCGAGGCAGTGAAGCCACTGGTGTTGGGTGCCACTGGGCACCTGCGGCTCTCGTGGGTGGGAGAGCATGGCCCTGCCGCGCATCCCGGGAGCAACGGGATTTCCAAATGTCTGACGCTAATCCCTGGGGGGCTGCTGAGTGTTTGCATCCGATTAGGAGACTGGTTTAAAGGCCTGCCAGCTGTTGGGTCTGCGGTGGGAAACGTGCCATTCCCAGTCACTACTGGAACCCGCCTTTACCCCAGAACCGGGCTGTTTGGGTCTGGGATGGGTTTTGCACTTTATGGAGCTGGAGCCTGCTGGAAAGGTCACTCACACTTCTGAGATGGGGTTTGGACCTCCTGGAGCTGTGCCAAGGGCCGATGTTCCTCTTCAGAGAGCTGGGCTGTCCGGCTGTGTCCCTGGTTGTCCCTCCTGTCCGGCTGAGCCTGGGCATGGACCCAGGGTTGGGATGGGACCTTCCCCGGTGCTGCCCGGCTCACACTTCTGTTAAACACATCACTGATGTCTTGCCTGATGTTGAGGAGGAGGCTGGATCTGACCTTCCCGTGGGAAGGGAGGACGGGAGAGGAGCTCACCCTGAATCCCCAGGCAGCAAATTCGCTTGGGTTCAGCCGAGCAGAGCCCCACAGCTGCTTCCTGGGCTTGTCTTGGATGATGACCCCTAATCGACCTTGGCTGACCTTGGATGCTGCTCCGTCCTGCAGAGTGCCCAGACCCGCCGGAGCAGGAGGCTGTGGTGGGATGGGGTGCTGTGCAGGCTGCACCGCAGCTCGTCGGACGAACTGCGTCCTGGCAAGGACTGCAAGCGGGACCCCTCCCATGCACATGCTTCCTAAGAAAAATGGTGTTTTCCCCCAAAACTCTGCTGTTTGAAGGCAATGTGGGGTTTGTTGGTGTGTTCACAGCACTCGTGATGGAGGAGTTGAGGTGCTGCGGTTCCTGTAGCACTGTGACTCTTTAAAGCCCGTTTTTCAATGTACTAATGATCATCTGCAGTACTAACGGGGCTGGAGGAGCATCCAAACAACCCCGAGGAGGGAACGCTTCCAAACGAAGCCTCCGCTTCAAAGAAATGTCAAAATGCAGCTCCCTCCTTGCGGAGCAGAGTTGCCTTATTTTTTAAATGTCAGCGTTTCCCAGAGAACAGCAGGGCTGTTCCAGCTCAGCCGGAGCTGGGAGCTGCGCTAGCGCCCGGGTGAGACTTTCCCGCAGAAAGCGCTCCAGATCTTCCTTGGCAGGAGCGAACAGGATCCGGCAGGTCCCATTCCCGGAGGCCGGGCTTCCCGCCCGCAGGCAGCTGGGGCTCCAGCAGCCCACGCCGGGGCAGAGAGTAAGGCCCCCAAGCTTACGGTTATTTTTATTGCTGTGTTTATTACCTCTTAAATTAAGCTCCTGGAGGCTGGTGCCTTTAAATGGCGAGGAAGGGACCTTGAGCAGCCTGTTGCCGTTGCGCAAGGTGCCTGTGCTCTTGGCACCCGTCGGGTGCAAGGTGTGTGCCGCGGGGAGATGGAGATGCAAATTCAGGGTGGGCGCTCAGCTGATGGCCCCGCACGGGCATCTCAGCCCCTTGAACGTGCCTCTGTGCTGAGCTGGGGGCTCCGGGCTGGGGTCCTGCTGCAGGGCTGGCTGTGGGGGATGCTCGGCCCCGCGGTCCGTCGGGGACCAGGAGCGGGGAGCAGACGCCCAGCAGCTCTCCTATGGACCCTGATAAATAACCCAGCGCTGCAGGGACTCGGGAGCAGCACGGCGCGGCCGGAGCCCTTGGTGAAGGCTAATGGCCGGATGTCCCAAGACCTTTAATAGTTATTAATATTTCCAGCTAATAAATGGCCCATGACACTGGGGTTATTAATTAATGAGTTGGAGTGCCGAGACTTGGCCCGTGGCAAGTTAATAGCTAACACCCTGAGTGGCTAAATGGGAGGTGGGCACCTGGCTGTGGTTCACTGGTGGGAGTGGTGCTGGTGTCGCCGATGAGCTGCTGCGTGGACCTGGGTGATCCCACGTCTCCTGGGGATTGTTCACCTGCTTTCTTGACAGAGCCTCTTCCAGATGGGACCTTATTTCTCTGCAGATGCTGTGGGAAAGGGATCCCTCTGGGCACAGTGATGTTCTCAGCCTGAGCTAAACTGCGTCTGGTCCTAATCTCCCACTGCCTAACCTGCTTGCTGGGGATTTTGGGTGCTGATGTGGCTTTGGAGAGGAGTCTGGGACCGACCGCGCTGCAGGGCTGACCCTGGGGAACTGCTTCTGGGAGGGGTGCAGTGGTGGGACTGGCATGGGGGCTGCCGTTGACTCATTCCTGGGTGCATCTCCGTGCTGGGCAGGGTCAGCGGGGCCGGGCTGGGGGCAGAGCGAGCCCCGGGGCAGTCCCAGCTCTGCAGAAGCAAAGATCCCCAATGCAAATGGGGTACCTTATCCTTGCCAGGCTGCTCTTTCTGTGAAGTTCAGCCCTAGGCAGGGTGGGAGCTTGAACTTTGGAGCACCTGGGTGTGCGGGAGTGGGTAGCAAAGGTGCCCTCCTGCCCCTGGGCAAGCAGCATTGCCGGAGGATTACTCACAGGGCAACGTGGTGCAGGAGGATCCTGGAAATCACAGAGGAGCTGAGGGTGAGGTGTTTCTGCAGTGCTGATGGGCTGGATTTTCCAGGCTCCCTGCAGAGATGCATCCCCGAGTGCAGCCAAAGATCCCGTGGGCGAACACTGCTCCGAGCTCCTGGGGAGCATCCCCCCATGTGAGCCCCCAGGCACAGTCTGCTGGGGACAGGGCTGCCTGTGCCACCGTCCCTCCGCAGGATTTGCCGTTCTGGGAGCGAGGGTTTCTTCTTGGCCATCGGTAATGAATTTGCTTTTATGCTGTGAGTGAGTGATGGGGATTAACACCCTTCTGCCCTCCAGGAGGAGAGGGAGGATGGGTAGGGGTCAAGATGAGATTGACTTTTGGCGTCCCCTCTCTCACTGCCAAGTCCCACTAGGGGCCCCTTCTTGACTTTGGTGGATTTTGGATCAAGCCCTCGACCATTAATAATAATGACTCATAAATCACTGCTCGCACCACCTGTTTGTCATGTTTCCGCCCACAATAAATACATCAAGTGTTTTTATAAGCGGAGCTGGCACGGGTTGTTTGTCACATCTGGACAGCGTCGTGGGAGCGCGGATCTGGCCGAGCTGCAGTGTGTGGTTTTTCCTGGCTGGAGGGGAGAAGCCACACAAATCCTCCTGCGTGGGGTTGAGTGGTTCGTCTGGATGGGTCCTGGGAGCCTTTTTGCAGAGGGGGGGGTTTGGGCATGATGCGAGCAGCAGAAAAAAGGCTCTCGGGTATCCTCGGTGTGTGGGGACGGTGCCTCAGGGCTTCGTCTGTTGAAGCATCGGCAGATCAGGGTTGCAGCTGCCCCGTTAGCCTCCAAGTCCCTATGGAGGTGTCGCCCACCCCGTGGCCTTTCACGTTGAGTTATGAGGTGCCTTCTCGGGCGGTGGGGCTGGGTGCCAGGGCTGCCTTCCCATTTTCTCCCTTTCCCTGCAGCCGAAGCCCGAGAACGCCATCACCATCGCGGTGTCATCGCGAGCACTTTTCCGCATGGAGGAGGAGCAGAAGATTTACGAGGAGCAAGGGGTGGAGGCCTACGTGAAATACCAGCTGGACCACGAGAACGAGCCCTTCCTCCCTGGGGCTGCCTTCCCCTTCGTCAAGGTGAGCACCCATCCGCCGAAGCTGACCTTGTCCTGACCCCAAAGTTTTGGGGTGAGGGGAGTGTTATAGGGTGCTTTGTGGGGAGGGGGTAGGAAACGGGCAGTGTGGCAGAAGGGCTGTAGCCACAGAGCAAAGAGAGGTCAAATAAACCTCCTGGCAAGTGATGGGCTTCTTCCAGGATGGAGGAAATGCTGATTTTTTCCAAATTGGCAAATGAGCCAAAGAATTGAAGAAATAATTTGTTTGGATCGTATTGAAAGCTTCCCTTTAGGGAATTCTCATATTTTTTTTTATTATTATTATTACAATTTATTTATTCTTTTAAACTGGCTGAATTTAGCCTTGCTACAGAGTTGGCCAATATCTAATTTTGACATGGCGAAACGAGGCATTTCAAACTTGAAAAATATTTCCCAGTTTCTGCTGCAGTTCCACTGGGTTTCGTGCAGTTCTGTGAGCTGGCCCTCGCTGAAGCAATCTCCTGCCTGTTCCCGATGAACAAATTAATCCACTTGGTGGGGAGAGACTTGTTCTGTTTGTGATTGCTTGAAAAACACTTATCCGTAACTTTGAGCTAATTTATTCTCATCTCCTAGGGAAATTTGAAGCCTTCTGTGTTTGAAAATAGAAGAGTAGCTATGTGTTTTGATTCCCCCAAATCAGTCGTCTTTTTTTCCCAGCTCACGCTACTTGCTGATGTCAGCTTGGCTCAGGGTGTAGCTGGGGTCGGGCCAGATCCCTGGTTTTGGTGAACAGAAGTGTTTTGCTCAGTGAGGAGGGGGTGAGGGCCATGCGTGGAGCTCGCTGACCCCCCCTCCCCTTGCCCTGGGGTGCTGCAGGCGCTGGAAGCGGTGAACACGCAGCTGCGCGAGCTCTACCCCGACAGCGAGGAGCTCTTCGACATCGTCCTCATGACCAACAACCACGCCCAGGTTGGCGTTCGCTTGATCAACAGCATCAACCACTATGGTGAGCTGAGAGCAAAGCGGTCTTTCATGTGGGTGCTGATGGCCTTTGGGCAGGGTGCTAGTGCTTGGCAGCAAGATAAGGAGCCGCCTTCTCCCATCTCTTCCTCCAAACCACACGCTGTGCTCACTGCTCCCAGTTTTCCTGGGCGTTGAGTGGAAGTTGGCTGGTGGCAAGGATGCTCTGGCCGCTGGCTGTGCTGTTGAATGGCCGTGCCAAAATTAGCCCCCATCCTGCTGACTCTTGGGAGGCCACGGGGGAGCAGCATCAAAGCTTGTTTAGGGGGCAACCAGGCTCATTGTGGGGTCCATCTGCCCTCAGATCTGTTCATCGAGAGGTTCTGCATGACGGGAGGGAACAGCCCCATCTGTTACCTCAAGGCCTATCACACCAACCTCTACCTCTCCTCCGATGCCGAGAAAGTGAGTGGGGCCATTGAAGAGGGTGAGTCTGGGGTCCAGCTTGGGGAGGGGAACAGCGGGGGGAGCCTGGAGCCCACAGGGGGTTGTTGCCAATGTCCCTGTCCCTACGTCGATGTGCAGCTAGGGTCCGCCTTGTCCCATATCCCATCCTTGATGCTCCCAAGAGCCTCTAGTTTCCATAGAAATAAGGCTTTCCTCGAGCTCCACAGCTCTTCCAAGGCAAAGGCGCTGTTTTTCACCATTAGTTCTTGTATGCAAAGGGAAGTTTGTCATCTGGGGATTTGTTTTTGCTGTGAAAGGCCTTGGGGCCAAGCTGCAGGCACTACTGGGTGCGTGCATTTGCTTGCAGTGTTTGCTTCCAGCCCGTCGTGTTTTGCTCTGCTCCTCAACAGATAAGCCACGAGGCCGGGTCCTTGGTAACTGCCACCTCCTGCCTCACGCTTTACCTCCACAGGGATCGCTGCAGCCACCATCTTCAGCCCCAGCAAAGACCTGGAGGTGTCCGAGAACCAGCTGCGGGTGGCATTTGATGGTGACGCCGTGCTCTTCTCTGATGAGTCAGAGCAGATCGTGAAGGCTCATGGCTTGGACATGTTCTTTGAGCATGAAAAGGCTTACGAGAACAAGCCTCTGGCACAGGTAGTGCTGGGGTGCAGCCAGAAGAAGCCTCTGGGAGAGAGACAGCCCACAGGGATGCTCTTGCCTCTGGGTACAAGCCGGGGTTGGCATGGGGAGCGCAAGGTGGGGTGGGTCAGCAGCCTGGTATGGCTAAGGCTGGCCCCTCGCTGTCGTTTCTGGGGGCTCTCGGGGAGAAGGGGTCAGCCAACATGTCTGGCTCTGCTGGGACTGGGCGCCTGGGGGAAGGGGTAGCATGGAGGTCTGCAAAGGGACAGTTTCTTCTTGCTTTGGCAGGGACCCCTGAAGGGCTTCCTGGAGGCCCTGGGGAAGCTGCAGAAGAAGTTCTATTCCAAGGGGCTGAGGATGGAGTGTCCCATTCGCACCTACCTGGTCACTGCCAGGAGCGCGGCCAGCTCGGGAGCCCGAGCCCTAAAGACTCTGCGCAGCTGGGGCCTGGAGACGGATGAGGCTTTGTTCCTGGCCGGGGCTCCCAAGGGGCCGCTGCTGAAGAAGATCCGTCCTCACATCTTCTTTGACGACCAGATGTTCCACGTGGAGGGAGCCAAGGAGATGGGCACCGTCGCTGCCCACGTCCCCTATGGCATCGCCCAGAAGCACAAGCGGCCGGCGGAGGAGAAGCAGACCCTGAACAGCAAGTAGTGGAGCTGGCTGGTCCCACGGCCCCCGGCGCGCGGCATGGACTTCACCCCGCACCCCGTGCTCTGACCTGGGCTGGGGTCTGCAAGGCAGAGAGCATTTGCCCCAGCGAGCGCTAGGTTATTGCCCAGCAGGAGCCTTGTCGGGGGCATGGATGGAGCAGGGGGCTGCCGAAAGGCTTCCTTTAGCCTCTGTGTTTGCTGGGATGTCGTGCCCCCACGGCCGAGCCGATCCCCGTTCGTTCACGCTCTGCACTTGCTTCAGGCAAAATCCCGCGAGGAAGGATCTGGGCTTTTGTGGACTGTTTGTGCCGGGCAGGTCTAACCTATCGGCGTTTCTTTAAAACCCCCGGCAATTCCCAAAGCCTTTGATTTACAAAGCAAACGTTCAGGCTGAACTGGTGAACTGGAAAGATGGGAGCACACAAAAACCCTCCTTGCAGCTCGGAAACAAAATGTTGTCCCTTTTAACTAAAATTCAAACACA